TAAACTCAATTATACCTTGATCCAATTGGCTTACGTGTGTGACCCTATAGGTTCGTATAATATTAGCAATAGACTCTTTAGTCTATAGATTATAAGCGGTCTCTAACAAAACATTACAACCACCTAACATTATACGAATGTCAAACCTCGACTTTACAACTTAACTAGAGTAAAGTACAAATGATTTCAAGACATTCTCAACAATCTCCCACTTGTACTGGAATCATCTATTCCGGTAATCCCTTTGTCTCTATACCTCGATCTTAGCATAAGGCAAGAAACTGTCATCCTTATCAAGCTAGATCACGTTTCTCGAACTCTGATTTATACTGATCAAACAAACGACTGACATTCACCTCGTTTGAGCGCGNCCACGCATTTCTCAGTATCAAATCTTCGATAGGCCCAGAGATATCTATCTCCCGTTATATAGGAGGGACAAATNCCATCTTGTTCCATCCNTGTTCCTTAAACAATTCATAACCCACCCGATCAATNTCTTTATAATCACCTTTTACGGCTGACGTTTGACAAAGTCAAAGTGAACCAATCCATGTGTAAGAAATCATGACGAACTCAGGTCAAAGGACTATACTCTATAGTTGTTATGAGAAACTCTTATGATACTCATATAACAATCTTGTAGAATTCTCATAGCGGGTCAGTCCGATACTGTGTTCTCCAACACATATCTATGTGATTGACTTTAATACCGCATATTAATGACTTCACGAAACTTAGTCATCAGTCACCTCACATACTAGTCATTTATAGTTATTAATGTCCCATCTTAATAACCATGACTAGGGACCTCAATAACTTATGTCATTTTCCACTCATAGGGTTTCATGATCAAGTCACGTACTTGATGGCCTATAAGAATGATATAAATTATTTGGGGACTATTATTTAGTTATCCAATAATAAAATAATACTGAAACAAATTTCATTAATTTGAATATGTATACATGAACATCATATCATAAAAGAAAAAACTCCCACTAGAATTAAGATCACATCTTAATAAATCTAATGCTAATTGCAGCAGTATGACTCTCATGCTTAGGCTGTGGAAGAGGTTTAGTAAAAGGATCAACAACATTTGCATCTGTAGGAACTCTGCTAATCTTCACATCTCCTCTCTCAATAATCTCTCGAATGAGGTGATATCTCCTTTGTATGTGTTTGGATTTCTGGTGGGATCTAGGTTCCTTCGCTTGTGCGATGGCACCATTGTTATCACAATAAAAATCCAGAGGGCCAGAAATACTAGGAATCACACCAAGCTCGGTAAT